ATATGCAAATTGGCAAGGAGTCAAGGACAATGGTCGTTCCTTGTCTTCTTCTTCCTCATGGAGGCAGAATGATGATTGACATCAAGGCTGGTGGCAGGATCAGTCCCGATCGGCCAGCCGCTGGCAGCGAGATGAATGCTAGAGCCGTGATTGGTGGAGCTCACGCAACTGGTAAGAGCATTCGTGCGACGGGAGTCGTTGCCTATGGATCAAAATAAAAACAAAACAAAAAGTACATCTATCAGGCGACGACTCTCAGAGAGCGAGTTTGCTTCTTCCTCCATCGCACCGCTGGAGCGGTTGCCCTGATGATCGCTTCTGTATCGCGCCGGGGCACCGGGTGCCGAACTTCACTTTTGCTCTGGCAAAATCTTTAATTCACATGCCATTGGTCGAAGTACCTTGTGCATTGCGTAGCTTGATGCTGATTCGCCATGCGGGACCGGGAGCGTGCGCCTACACGTGATGCTCTACCGCAGTTTCTACTTGAGCTGACTCATATATGCATGAATAGTCAATTCGTACGAGTGAACACTAGCTTCAACCTGACAGTGATTCCATTTACCCTTGAGGTCAAGTATCCTCTCCATCTATAAGGCTGGAACCGGCATCGTTCGAATCGCTCGTGCCGGGGGACCGGTTGCCTTCGTAGGTCCCTAATTCACTGTACATAGTCTTCACTCCTCCCATTTTCGTTCAGCGGGGGTGTTGTTTCACGCTGGTGTACCATAGACATGGACTAACTCGTCTTGCTTTGGCTCAAGGAAAACAAGCGTGACTTGTTGGTAGGTGTCGGCCGTTCGCCTGTATCTACATGGGTTCTAGGTAGGGTAGGAAAACCAGCGCTGGCCACTGGCCGGATAGTCGGATAGTCATACAGTCAAGTCAAATAGAACTGTACCTGGTAGTGATGGTAGCTGATAGTCTGATAGCCACTAGTCACTCCTACATTGATAGTCCTACTAGTCCAGAATTTGTCCTTGGCTTGGCCACACTGCAGCAGTGTCCATGTCCATGACGGAGCTTTTTGGCGTGTCACCAATTGGAGTTCACGCTGAAACTTTTCAGGGGAGTCTAATGTCTATGGTAATTTTTTCTTGACTTGACTTAAGATCGTTTGAGATTCTGATGCTGACTGTAACTCTAACTCTATGTAATGCAAAGTTCCAACAGATCAAATTATCGCCAAACTATGGCTACGGCTAAAGTTCTTGTGACTACGGTGGCGCTACAGCTAAGGAATCATCATCACCTTCGACAACAGCCTTGGTGTCGGCAGTGGACCAGCAAAGCCTTTTGATCGCTCTTCACGGGGACAATTTCGCAGAGAGATACACCAGCTTCCACAAGCTTTTGGCCGCAGAAAGGAAGTCAACACTTCTCGCGAGAAAAGAAGAAGAAACCAGGTATTTGAAGCAGCGTCAGCAGGCGGCCTCACAAGTTGCAGAAGCAGCGGGGTCATTGTTTGCTGACGTTTCGCAATCTGGAGGGCCTGAGTTGACTTCCAACCTGCAAAGCAGCCCGTCTTCTTCGCCGTGGAGTTCACTTCTGCGTTTCCAGTGGGCACCTCCTGCCCTGGATTTTGTGAAGGCAAGATTTTGTGCCAAAGGCGAGTTTTTTTTGGTGGGTGGCAATCTTGCTATTGGTCACCTTTGTTTAAAGTCTATTTAACGTGTTTGAGTTTGAGTTTTGTTTACCTATTTGTTTTGTTTATATAGTTGAAAAATGAAAAGTATAAGTGAGTAGAGTAGAAGAGTTGAGTACTGAGCACTGAGAAGAGTAGAGCTGCAGCAGCTCAGCAACAGTTGTTAACAGTTAACTAAACTGTAAGCAACTCTGACTGGAAAGTTAAGTTAAGTAACACAACAAGCAAGTGTTGAGTTTAATTTGAGTTGACTATTGACTATTGATAAGCTAGCTAGCTGCTAGTAGATTAGTGTATAGTAGATTCAAAGCAGTCAAACGAAGTGACTACGCCTATGTGACGATCACTATGTCACTATGTTGGCTGCAGGACGCTTGAGACTCAAACCCGGCTGAAAAGGCCGCGCGGCCTCAGAATGGGCTTTGAAAAACGTCAAGAATTGCTGGCTGCTGTCTGAAGGGACCAGGGTCTTGTCTGGCAGCTGAAAGGTTGCCTGCGCATAGTCCACATTGGTGCTTGTGGGCAGCCTGGAAGCTTTGCGAAGGAGCTCCTCACGAAGGACTCGGTGGAAGTCAGAGGTCTTCACCTCCGCGCTTGCCGTGATGTGGGCCAGTGGCCCTTCCTTGAAATTGCGGCGGACGCACGCAATCATCTTGCCCTTCTCTGACTCCACAACGTAAACAAACAAGTGTGGTGCCGCTGCCAACCCTGTAAAGCGTCGTCTCACGATTCATCGATAGCTCGACCTTTGCAAAGGGCCTTGTAAAGACAGTTGCGGTTTGTGTGAGTGATGCAGTGAAAGGAGCAGCCCTTTGGATGGAGTCAAGTTTGCGCGTCGAAAACTGTGTGGCGGATGTCGACTTATAGACAGGGTTAGTTTGTCACTGACACTGACGGATGTTGACTGAAGATTGCGAGCATGCACTGGGACAGGGTTTGTTTGTCACTGACTTGTTTATCGTCACGTCATCATTCCCAACCTGTTTCTATATGTTGAGACCTTGCGCAGTGCCTTGTCCAAACCTTTCTTTCAAATCTTTTCAGCGTTAATACCAAACCTCTGTCGGAATTTGGCCGTAGCGCATACGCACCCTGAGCTGCTTGCCCACGAGTACGCGCGTTGCGTTGCCCTTCTGTCCATGGCATCTCCTGTGCCTGCGCGCTGGGAGTACACCTTTGCCTTCATGCCAGGGATCCCGAACGACAATCTCTGGAAGCTCTGTTGGTACGCCTGCTCCAACCTGCTGAAGAAACCACAGCTCCCAAACACCGGCTCATTGCCCTTTCTTGAGACATGGCTCACATCCATTCTGAACATGTAGACGTGGCCCCTTTTGCAAGGATCAGCTTTTCAATGCCATATGGAAGGAGGTCACCATGAGGCAGGTCTGGCCTTTGCGTGCAATTTACACCGGCGCTCGTATCACCGAGTGAAGTATAATGTTCCATGGGCACCAGCCGCGTGGCACCTGACCAGCTTAAGGGTACAGACTTGTCAGCGTCTCGAACCTGTTCCGGGCGCATGGGGTTGTTTAATTCTGCAAATAGGAGCGGGTGCCCCACCCAAGCAGCTTCGATCTCAGGCAAGACGAGTCTGTCGCCATTCGCCATCGCGGCCATGCAGTTCAAGCGCGCAGATTTGGACATGGGTGATTGTGAAGCAGTTGCGCGAGCTTCATGTCATCGGAGAGATCCTTGTGCCCAGCCTCATCCAAGCGACTCTTCGATTCGACGTTAGCGCAAAGCTTGGTGAGAGCGTGGTGTCGCTTGAAAAGCTTGAGATCAAAGCCCTGGGCACAAGCCATTGAGCTCTTTGCACGATGAGTTGTCGTGGACCATGCGAAAGGCCGGTTGGTGGACAGAAGAAGAGATTCTGTTTCAGAGGCAGCGTTGTCAGCTCTGCGGCCACAACATGTGCCAGAGTCCCGTGTCTTTGTCCAACTTGTTTGCTCGTCATGATTTTGTGGCCGGGAACACTGATGTGGATGGTCCGGCTAGAAGCCGCCGACGTTTAAACTGAAGCAGCTCTCTGAGCGCCAGTATAGGGGGTCCCTCAAAAGCAAAAATCATGCTAATGAGCTTGTTGGACGGCGACAGCTTGGCTGCAATCAGTGATCAGTTGTTATGGGGAGAAGTTTTTGGGGGATGTCGGCTGGAAGGTGTAGAGTGTAGAGAACTCTTGCTGTCAAGCTTTTTTGAAGCGCTGGGGTTTGCGACTGCTGCATGTCTTGGGCCTTGGAGTGTTTCCTATAATTGGCGCGGTCACCGTATAAAGCTGTAAGATCTTTTTCAGTGGGCAGGGCATGTGCAGTGCTTGGGGCTTCAAAGACCGACCGCAGTGCCAAAAAACATGCTGGACGCCGAGGGATGCAGAGAAGTGTGCATGACGAAGGCATATAATAAGCATGGCAATGGCCAAAACATGGTATAAGCGCGGCTCTTCCCAACACTCATGATTCGTCCTCCCTTGGCGTCCGCAGTCTTAGGTTGCGATTCAAATCGTAACCTGCTTGAAAAACCACCTGAACATGGTTTCCGCCCTTAGCCTTCTTTAGTGGGCTTAAACCTTTTTGTGGGGGAAAGCGGGGGGACTCTAGTAGTGAGCCGTGAAGGGGCAGAAGTCTACGTGTGGAAGGTATACTTGGATGGGTTTTGCTCTTAGGTATGTTATAACAGAACTTATATCAAGTTATGGCTCGTTAAAAATCAATCGTGCAGCCTCAACTTATAACCGAACTTATAAGTTCTCCACGTTGCCTTTTACGTTAACTTTTTGGGCCGTGATTTTTCAATGGCGTTTTGCAATATTTTTTGGCAATGTGACGGCTGACCGATATCGCCCACCGCTCACCGTTCTCTCTTTCATGAACACACCGGCGCCGCTCCGCTCAACATGGTTTCTACCAAAAAAATCACCGGGATTTTCCATGGAATCGTTTCTACAAAAATTTCAATAACCTACGGATAAAATAGTTTTTGGAAATGCATGGATGAGGCTCGCCCTCCCTGATATTTTTGAGTTTGGTCCCCGAGGCTCGCCCGGGGCGTGATTCTCCTAGAGTCGCTGCAATCCATTTTTGGATGCGTGGTGTCAACGGAAAAGTGGATTCATGCACACTTCCCATATTAGCATTGAACAAATAATACGATAGGCAAGAACTTAAAGTAAAACATGCTGATGGTTGCGCTATGCTTGAATTTTGTGCACGCACCGTGGTTGTACTGGTTTTCATAAAAACATGAATCAACCGAATCAACGCACATTTTTTTCACATCATCTCCTGTTGTGTGTGCACATCTGGACTTTGCCCCTACAATTTCCAGCTAAACACACAGCAGGGCGAGCCACTGCAAATCAATTTGCAATCTCCTCGAGGTACCCCACCACTCGTTTCCATGTACTTTTGGGATCCTCCTTCTTCCAAGAAAAAGCTCGATCTTTCTTGTCCCCTGTTTTCTTGACGCGCCAACTTTGGCTGTTGGGACACGTGTAAATTGTGGCCACTTCCAAGTGATAGGGTTTCGCATCCTTTGTCCCAGGGAACTTCATAGAACTCAGAGTTTTGACTGTTTGTGCACTGCCAGCGCTCTTGGTTTGAACTGGTTTGGTCTTGGCTTTGGCTTTCGCTTTGGGTTTGGACGTCTTGCTCTTGTCCCCAGCTTTGTTCATGTCCAACTGCTCACGAATGGCAAGTGCCATGTCATCAACTGATCTGGGTTTTGTTTTTTCTGATCCATTCGTTTCACAGTGCAATTGCGTCTCCACCTCAACCGCCTTTGGCAAACCATCTTCAGGAATGACTTGAGGAGACACTGTTGTTTTGCACGTTTTGTCCTCAGGACCATCAACAAAACCATCTTCCAAAGCCAAAGGTTGCTTGGCTCTCTTTTTGAAAGATTGCCCATTTCCAAAAATGGTTAGGGCTTCTGGCTGGCTTCCTCCAGACCCACCCATAAACCTGTCCAAAAGCGCATTGCAAAGGATATCCCGCAAACCATCATCACGGTGTGAGGAACGCAATGAAACACCAGAATGCCCCGCTCGTCGAACATCACCATGCGTCTCCCTGCATGGAAAAGACATCGCTAAAGATTCTATAGTATCAATGTCCAAAGGGCACGCCACAGGTTGCGCATTGCAATACGCAGTTTGTTTGATGGCATCAGGCAAACCTTTTGGGTCGCTCGGATAAACTTCCAAGCCTGAATGCTGCCCCTTTTTGCTGCCTGACTTGATGACCGTTTTGACATCCCTGAGGACCCTAAATGCCTTCCTTGTATCAATCTGAAAAGTTTCTGGGGGCCCATTGTGGGCAGCCAAATGAAGAATGACGTTGGCAAGTACATATGTGGGTTCTGTAGGACATGTGAGCCCAATGAACTGACACCTGTTCTTCAAAATTTGGAGCTTTGCGTTCAAGCCTTGGGTTTCACTTCTCATCACTCCCCATTCCTCCTCTGTGAAGTAGTGGAACAGGTGCAAGTTCCTTTGCAAAGGTTGTCTTTTTCCTTTAGCAGGTTCCTTCTGATTGGTCTGGTCGGCCAGAACCTTGTCCTGCACTGCCTGCAAGACCTGCTCCTTCATCCAACCTGGGATTGAAGCAGCAGTGACCCAGTTCACCATCTCTGTCCCTTCTGTCATCTCGATTTTGGGCCCCGTCACAAAGTCTTGGAGGCAGCCTTCCACCAGGCGCTGTTGTTGCTCCATTGACCGCGGGGCATCCTTCAAACCACTTAGGCTTGACAGAAAGGAAAGCAAGTCTTTCAACCTTTTGGACGCCATGCGTCGTGCGTTTCCCTGGGAAATGAGGCGAGCCTTCACTTTAGCCACCTGTTCATTGAACATTGGGAAATGGCAGCAGCATCGACAGAAGCATTTGCATACTATATCCTGCGGTATCAAACTGTTTAATATTGCAATAGATTTCGCTCAAACCAAAGACAACAATGTCGAAAGAATGACTCCATACACAGCTCTGAATTCAGAAGACCCCACCCCATCACATGAGCTAAACAATGATCAAAATACCCGCACAAGAAACAAACATGTTTTCAGCACGCCATCCTTTTGGCGAAGACTCAGCTAGCAATGCCCAGGCCGCTGCCATGATCAAGAGGATGACGATCCAATCCAACGGTATCGATTCTGCGAACGGTGCCCGATGGATCTTTTTGTCCCACCCTTTGTGGTTCCCTTTGCTTTTGGATTTCGAGCCTTTCTCTTGGCACTTGCTGCTTTCGTTTTTGCTTTGGCTCTCGCTTTGCTGGCTGCTTTTTTTTTTTTGGCCTGTGTTTTGACTGCTGCAGGCCTCTTTTTTGCAATGCCTCGTGCCAGTGCCCGCATGGAATCAGCTTTGCACGCCTCCATGAACTCATCAAACTTAGCGCAATCTTGGGCGCCCAGCGAAGTGGAGGATCGGGGCACGGCGCCCAGATTTGGTCTAATCTCCATCAATAGTGGAGCCACAACAGCAATGATGAGTGGTACCGGATATGTGTTCCCAGCCCCTTTGATCCTCAGCGCATCGCTGCAGTCATACAACGTGTCTGCATCGAACCCCTGCAGCAACATGCGTTCTGTCAATGACAAAAAGCGGAAAAACTTGCGGTCTTTCTCTGGCATCTCAAGGTCAAGCGAAGCAAGAAACATGTTCGTTGTCGTCAACGTCGGCACGATGTTCTTGGAGAACCTGCGAACATAGACCTTTCCTTCCGCTCTGTCCAATGGAAACACAATGATGTCGCTGGAAACCGCGTCTCCCTTTTTCATCATTTTGTTGATTGCTGCCATAGCATCGATCAGATTCTGGCGCGTAACATCCGTCAACGTGGATTTGTCCACGGATGGCAACTTGGGATCTAGGAAATCAACCAAAGGCTTCTTTCCAAATGGGTCCAGGGGTTCTGGCACCGTTCCTTTTCCAACTGTTCTCCGCAAGCCTCTGAGGAAGACTCTGGTCCTTTGCTGTGCAAGCATGTATTGTTCAGCCTTGAGACTAACAACTCCCCAGTCGAACTCTGGACACTCATGTCGCAAAAAAGCAGTGATATTCTCCATGAAGCTCGTGGCACCGTTCCTTTGGTGCATGATGCCTTTAACGTTCTCCAAAACGCAGGCTTTCAAATCACCTGATTTGATGAGGACCAGCACCATTTTCATGACACTTAGGAACACATCGGCCCTGCTGTCTTCTTGGCCCTTGTGACATCCGTTCCCTGCCCAAGGTGGGCAGGGTGGACCAGAGATTAGTAGGTCCACCGGTCGTTCGATGCTGCCAAGATCAGCTTGGCATATATCGCCATCAATGCTGCCCAAGTGGAGGTCGCAATCTGGAAGGTGTTTCTCCAGGTGTTGCTGGTATCGACCCTCCAGGTCATAGACATTGTTTGCACAAAAAGGCACCTGCAAGCACTTCAATGCAAGTCCAGCACCGTCGATGCCGACACATGGAAAGCTCACATGAAGCTTCCGTGACCATTTGCCAAGCTTTGGGACCACCTTACTCCAATCATTTGGCCTTGGAAATTTCGATTGTTTTGGGGCCACCCTCCAAGGCTGTATTTGCGGGGGGGCGAGCCTCCCAAACTCTTCTGGATAGCTGTTTCCCTTGAGCAGAAATCAACCACACGCATAAGCCAAGTATACCCGTTGAAATTTCCTTTACAAAATCAACCTACCTGGGTAACAAAAAGAGCTTCGATATTGTAAAGAAAAAAGTTTGCTTCCAGGTACCCGTTTTTGTGGGGGTGGGGAGGTTGATTTTGTAAGGGCAGCATTCTTTCTTGGGGCTGTTGATTTTGTAAGGAATCGATATGTTGGTATGGATGTCAAAAGTGCCGCACTGGTGAGGGTGGGGTCCTTGATTCTATACAAGTTTGAGGGTGGGGTGGTTGTCATGGACAGTCGATTCTGTAATCGATTGACCTGCTGTAAAGCATGGACAGTTGATTTTGTAGTGGGTTGAGCTGCTGTAGAACATGGTCTCATAATTTCTCAATAATTCGCATAATTTTTCATGATTTATCATAGATAGGATATATTAGAACACACACACACGCACACCAGGAATCCCAAGAGCCTCGTTGAGTATCGCTGCTGAGTTGATGTTTAATGAAAGTGTTCTCTTTGAGCAAACACACCCAGCTTTACCCAGTCTATCCCACACTTCAACGCCTTCTGCTGGAAGATCCTCTTTCTTCTTTACCTTCTTTGGTGGAGGAGTATCCACACCTGCCGCAATTAAACATCTAGTGAGGGCTTCTGAAGGCACTTGTTTCTAGGTTAAACAGGTTTTTCTACTGTATCGAACCAGTCTGATAAACTCTGTCAAAAAGTCTCCCAACAGACCCATTGAAACCCCCGCTTCACTTGCCTTCTGCTTGAAGACTCTTCGCCTTCTGCGCCTTCTTGGATGCTGGCGTTCCCGCACCTGCCACAATTAAATGTTTATAGATGTCTAGTCAGGGCTTCTGGGGGTAATGGTTTCCAGGTGGACACATGAAGGATCATGAAGGTAAAAGTACCAAGGAAGATGTGAAACCTCAAAATCCTTTTAAAAGAATCTTCAACAACTCCCAACGCAACCCTGGAACCCCCACACTCCAATGCCTTCTACTAGAGGCTCATGCTTCACCTTCGTTGTCGCAGAAATTTCCCCACCTGTCACAAGTGAGCCGGGAGAGAGGGCTTTTGAAAGCCTTCTATCTAGGTGGATATCTACAAGCGCCGTACTTAAGTCAACCCACGTCGCGTGAAGTCGACTCACTGCATGGGCACAAGGTTTCAGCGAGAAGTCAGCATCAACCAAGGGACCTGTGAACATCAACCAAGGGACCTGTGAACCTGTGAACCTGTAGCGATAAGTAAACCGAGACTGAGATTCTTGATTCTGTATAAGTGCCTCTGGATGCTCTCTTGGTGCCTCTGATTTTGTAAAACTGTTTCCTAGTGATAGACATATTGGGATGTTTGATTTTGTAATCAACTGTTTGGCGCATTGGTCCGTGCTACTGTCTGATCGTATCGTATCGTATCGTCTCGATGAGGTCGCGCCAAATCATTACAAAATCGTTTGTTTTTTCCAATCCAGGTTTAATGATTGAGATTTTGTATCTTGTTTGAGGCCTCGGGGTGGTTGATTTTATAATTGTACTGAGCCATGTCAACAGAGTGCCTATGATTTTGTAAAGACTATATTTTGAGACTGGGGTAGTTGATTTTGTAATATCGGCTTGAGAGTTGTCCCTTGCCTGCGTCCTGGGGGGTTTGATTTTGTAAAGCTTTTCAGATTGGCGAGCCCGGGGTGGTTGATTCTGTGGCACATTTTCCTTAGAGAATCAACCTCCCCTGGACACAGCAGGAATTCGAGGGGGGATAGCCAAGTTAAACGCAACTAAGTACTTGATGACACAATGTTGAATGATGAGAGTATCAATCAATGACAATCAAAGAGATTTTTTTTGCAAACCCCATTGCTGATCGTTCAAGTTGTTACTGAGCCGCAAATGCATTGAAAAACGCAATCTGCAACCAGCTAATTAATAGCACAGTAAATCATTCAAAGGCAGTGTTCTCACTGCAATGCAATCAAGCAGCCACAGGACTCTGTGGACATGTGACCGCATCCACATCAATCACAACAGCACTGTTTGAAGCAGTTGATGTGTCTGCTGTTGATGTTGGCGCAATGGGTTCGTCCTCATCTGATTCGTCTGTTAGTCCATGGTAGACCTTGCAGAAATCACACCGACATGTATACAAATGTTGATCGTCTTCCC